ATTCAGGTAGTGAGAAACAAAAAGACAAACATTAAAACAACTTTCCTCCTGAATCTCCCAGACTTAACTTCACTCTTTCAGTCCTGACTCCTCTACCCTCCCCCAGTGGTGCAGGGGTACAGGGGGCTATGGCCAGTCCATAACAGTTCCTCTCAGCTGCTCCTTCCTCTTCACACTTTTCCCTTGCTCTTGCATGGGCGCTCCACGGATCACAGTTCCCACCAGGAAATATCCATCTGCTACAGTGTGGGGTCCTCCAAGGGCTACAGTGGGGATTCCTGGTCTGCTGTGGATCACCTCCTCCTCCTCCTTTCTTTGAGCTTGCTGTTCCTTCTGTTGTGTTCACTCTTCCCCCCCCCCCCCTTATCTGCAGCTCCCCTGCTACCAATACCTTGCCGTTTAGACCCGGTATGGATGATAATGCTGGTCACAATAAAGAAGAAGGTACCAGAATACCCTCAGGAGCCTGTGCTCAGTTTGAAATGGTCTTTTTCCGTTAAGGCCAAGTGACAGCTGCTCAGAATCTATCTCAGGAATCACCGTGAAAACATGGGAGTAAAACCCACTACATTTTATTGTGCAATTCTCTCATAATCTTAGCACAGCTAAAATTCACATAGATTCTCAGTTAAAAGTTCCTACAAAAGCAAATGCCATACTAATAAAATTTTCATTTCTATGATTACTTTTTCACAGTCTGGACTGCAAAGAAAACTGTCATGTGTTTCTGATTGAGAGCCATTGCTGAATTCTCAACTTTTAATGTTACCGAAATCAAAGGATCTTTCCGTTTTCCCCTGAAAAGCATTAGTTTAGGCAAACATTCTCAGCTGATCAGTAGCTGATCCAGTAGTGTAATGCTCCCTACAGACAGGATTGTCTCAGAACACAGGCAACTGAGGATCTGTTGGTCCCTAATCAAATATACTGCTTTTCTACACTGCTTAATCTCTAGGAGGTATCCAGAAATGTGATTCTTTTAAACAGCCTTCCTGAAAAACTCTAATACTGTTTTGTAAAATGAAGTTATGCCTTCTGTTACTCCACAGTATGTCCCTCCATCCCCATTGCTGCATTCAGATAGCATATCTTCACTCTTAGCCTCTCCCACAAGCCCTTTAGGAAACACACGCCATCTAACTTCATTCTTATGCTGGCACTACATAAATTGACCTTACCTTTCGGTTACAGGCCCTTTTTTTCATATGATGCTCTGGCATCCTGAAATGTCTTGGCTTTTCATCAGTTAAACCACTTGGGTTTTTTTCTTTGTACTTGTTGGATGGGTGATGTTGTAATGAGTAAAACTGGCTCTTTGATTTCCAGACGAGGGGAAGGACAGTTCAGTGGGATATGCCTTTTATAGAGAAAAGTGGAAGTACTGCGTAGGCTATCACATCTGATCTTGTGTTCAGCTGTACCTGAATGCTTGATCAGTTTCTCACTGAAACTTCACTGAGGTACTAAGTTATCTGAAAAACAAGAGAGGAAGATGGTATTCTTCCAGAAGAAAAAAGTAGTTGTGGTTCTCAAGAAAGCCGCTTGCAGCATGGACTCTACCACACTTGTCTTGATATCATTCTTTTTGCAGACTGTTTCCTAACCCTAGAAATAATTGCTTCACATTACACAGTTTTAGGATCTTCATCCCCCATCATTTCACAGGTTACTTTTATTTGTGTGAGTTCTGTTTGCTGCATTGGGACAGCTTCTGATTTACACTGAGTGAGAGCAGAACAACTTTCATATGCTTTTCCTTTCAAAGTTCAGCTTTGGGAAGTCAGGAGGGTGTACTGAAGCTACTCAGTTATTGCAGGATTTGATTCTTCCTCATAAAATCCACCTCCCCATATAATCATGTCATTACCAGAGACATCCTTGAGAGGCTGGCCTGTCACGTTAAACTAAGATCACTATTACCTACTGTTATGGCTGGTGTTTTGAGTGGGATCAGAAATTTGGGCACTGGAATGGACAGCCCCAAATGTCTCAGCATTCCAAATTAAATCATCATTTAAATAGAGAAACAAAATGGGAAAAGCCCTTTGTGGGATCTTCATAATATATTTCTAGTATTTCCAATAACTGGATCTCAGGATCCAGCCTGCACTGAGAAATGGCATAAACCTCTCAAGTCAGAGACTCTATTCTTAAAACAAAAAGCAAGATATAATGTGTTAGAAATTACCTTGGTGTCCAGACATAGTGCAGTGAGGTGTATTTCTCCAACCCAAATTTGTGCATGATATAAAAGTGGTCAGTTTGACAGCACGTATCCTGCAGTGAGCAGCTTCCCAAAGTGTTCAAAGAAAGATGCATCTTCTCCTTTTTAATCAGACTTATGAATAGATAGGGATGTTTTTACATGTACTTAAAAGTCTCTTACCCTGTGAGTTGGCCCATTCACTGTGATTTTTCCTGGAACATGGTACTACCCAGGGTACCTATGCATATCATAACCTCTGCCATCATTTTTAATAAGTAGCTTATCTCTGTGATGCAACTAAAAGCAATCCTGAGTGTCTCCAGGGTTTGTTGTAATTAAATTTTATTGTTGTATTTGAAAATGTACAGGTTTTGAAAACTGCAGCAAGAAAAATGGAAAGGAGATTCTAGGAGGTGATAGTCTGATTTTTAGAAGCTTTTAACCCTCTATAGTTTCCAGATCTACAAGCTTACTTATGCTTCCCAGGTATCTCTTATACACAACTGAGGCCATAAGCTGTAGCAGCTAGTGTGGTTTATTAGCTGATGTCAGGTAACCATGCAAAGATTATCAGTTACACCTGCAGACAGGTGCTGTAGGATTCCTAGTAAGATTGTAGAAAGCCTTTTCTGAAAGGCTTACATTTGCTGCTGCCCCTTTCTTCTCCAAGTATTTACAGCTACTACAAGAGAATTATTCCAAGTCATAGTGCTGCCTGTGAAGTGCTGTGAGGAAAGGCAAGGTTTGCCAGCTTCTGCTCTGGACGATATAGACATGTTGGTGTTTTGAGCAGAAAACTGACAAGTTTATCTACAAGTTTATCTGGCATTACACTGCCATGCTCAGGCATCACCACCCACATCACTGAGGACTGCATGCAACTATATTTGGGCTCACATCTTCTGCAGTCGGTGGAACTGCTTCCACTCTGTATTCAGGGACTGAGCTTCACCTTGGTCATTGTACCTGTCTCCACTCTCTTCACAGCTCACCAGGACTGCTAATCAAGCAGTTTCCTCCTTTTGTTTTATTCCTGCTTGATTTGCTTGCCATGGGATGCCACAGACTCGTTCTGGAGATTCATATAACAATTTTTTCCAAATCAAAATATTTCCTCCAACAATGTCATCTTTTCTCTCCAGCATTGCTACTAATCTTTATTTAGTTATTTACTTTGCAATTTCTAGAGGGAATGGATGTGCCCAAGGCGCCCCTTTAGGCAACACTTTATATCAAGGTTCCATTTATAAATACTTCATGAAGGGCTAATGAATGATTAATAGATGTTTTAATGTATGACCAATCAATTGTTGTAGATTTTGCAATGTCCAACAGACAAGTAGGTTTCTTATAAGCATATATTATAACCATATCTGACATCTTCTACTGATGGGCTTCTAAACATCTATAACATACACACTACTCATATCTGTAACATGCTTAAAACCTCTACTAATCACTGATTAATTTTTTATAACCTATTTTGAAGCAGAGCCTGTCTGTGCAGTACATCCCTTATGGGTGTCTGTGACTCCATTTCTATAGGATTGACAATTTACTTGTCATCTAAGGATTTACTAATTCCAGCTCAAGCATTAGGCTTTTGTGAGTTAGCTTCAGCATTTACACCTCAGCCTAAGAAATGTCTTTGCTCTTCCCAGACTTTTTTCTGTCTCAGACTTCAGACAGACTGCTTTACCCTGCTAATGCACATTTTGCAAGCTCTGCTGAAATGCAGTGATTCTTAGGGGGCAAACCCACTCTAAAATTCATTTTCAGCCTGTTGAACTCAGTTTGTTTGATTGTTCTCAGGACAGCTGTCCCAGTAAGGGCATTTCCCAGCATTTTAGTTTTGGTGGGTTTTTTCTTTACTGTCATCCCTGTGTGCTTGGTTCAAAGAATGTCCATTCTCAGAAAGTATGAGAAAATATAAACTTCACAGTAGCCCAAAGAACAAACCATCTACCAGAGGATGTTTCATTCAAACAGAGGAACACACGTTTTGTATGTCTGATAAACCCAAATGCTGATAGGAGCGTTCCTCTGTGGGATTCCAATAGTCTCCAAAAGTGAAAGCCATCACTGTGCTCTCTGCTCTATTTGGAGCACTCAGGTAGAACTGACTGAAGTGGGCAGTACAACTCACTTCCTGAAAATGTGAGAGTCCTGCAATTAATCAGTGGCAATTGAGAAGCAGTAAATTGCTTAGTATCATATTTTGCAAGTATGTTTTGAATTATTAATTGGTTTCTACTGAACTTAATCCCAGGGTTGAGTCCTCTGCTGTGATTTATCTAGATGTTTAGACCAATACTTTAATGATATTAATTAAAAGGATCTACAGGCTTTTCTCATTTTTGTGGTCATTAGTAAAATAGTCTCTGTTCTGAGTATCCCCAGGTAAATATCCCATTCCCATTTAAATCAAATAGTAATCCTTCACTGATTGCTGTTTAGAGCAGGATTAGGCTGCTACACCTGTGGCATTAGCATATTGAGCCTGAATAAACACAACAACCATAAGTCAAAAAAGAGGGGGGAAGGGAAGAATAAAGGGTGAAAAAGGAGAGTTTTATTCTTCAATGTTAACATGGAATTTCCTCTGGCTTTCTTAAAACCATTCCTTGTCAAAGACACCAAAGCCTCAGAAATAAGAACCTCTCAGAATTACTCAAGCTCTCAGAGCAGGCAGGTTTTTACCCACATTAGCACAATGGCTTTTATGTCATCCAGTTAGCACTCTGTGTTTCTGGGTTTATTGGGTTTTTACCATGTTGTTTTCTTTCTTTTTCAGCTGGTTAATAATCCACTAGCAAGTCAAGCAGCAGCGGCTGCAGCAGCAGCAGCCATGGGCTCAATAGCGAGCTCCCAGGCCTTTGGCAATGCCCTCTCCAGTCTTCAGGGGGTCACAGGTCAACTCGTCACTAATGCACAGGGACAGGTGAGTAGAAGATGGAGCAAACAGTGAATTCTGATGGCAGGCTGATCTTGGGACAAGAATGAGTTCCGCTTGTATGATAGCAATTTAAAAGCACACATATCGAAGATAAATAAATATTGATTTGCCAGACAAGGTAAGAAATGGAAAGTCTGAGAACTGGGAGGAAGTTAGGAGCTGTTTGAAAGTATTTTCAAGCCAGAAAGAGCTTAGCATTTGTTTTGTTTTAATTCAACCTTTAGAAAAGGTCAAAATAGTGCAATAATTTGGTATTTTAAAAGTCCAGCAAGCCTGTGATTCTTTACAAACATAGCAGCTTCTGCCATTTACATATGCCTAATAACAGATAACTATATTAAAGCACCGATGTGGTATTAAGAGTACACTTTTTTTTTTTGCAAATTGTAGCATTTCTGTATTACTTAATTTCTAAGAAGAGTATTAAATGTTTCAAGTAAAGGAACACAAATTGTAATGAAGAATCTGGGACAGATTTAGCTGGGTAGCTTGTTCATTTGAGGACTAATTTAAGCAGTTTGCAATGAATCTGCCTGTCCATAGTGCCAAACCTGGGAGAAACTCTTCTTTAAAGAAAATTTCCAAACAGAATCTTGTGCAATTTTTATGGTGTGTCTAGGAGAGAGATCTTGTGTTACCTGCACTTGGGAGCTGCTTATTTGTTACTGTTTCATTCTTAATATGATGGAGAAAGTTATGTATCTGAAGCCATATATATATATATATGTAAATAATTCCATTGATGCAGCCTGCTTAAGTGGCTTTCAGATTGTAGCCATTGTCATTCTTTATCACATTTACTAGGACTAGAATTAACACAACTACTTGTTTCACATAAAGTCACTGCAACAAATCTGTCAATATAACTTAAGACCGGCTGTGGTAACTGAGTAATTTGCATGTCATTATTCTAAATGCTACAGATTGAATGTATGGTGATATCCAGTGATATGTGGTTGTTAGGCCCTGGTAAGTGTGTATTGAAATGATGAAGCTTGGGTGATATGTGAGTCTGAAGTTTAGTTTCCATTCTTACTGTTTCCTATGGAGAAAAAACTTGAAGAGCAGGTTTTCCCCGGGTCATTTTCTATCTCCATGGGATTTAATTGGAACAGGGGTGACATTTTTTATTTTGGCCCATTAAGAAATATAAGACAACACTTTATAGGAGCCCTCTTTTTTTTTTTTTTATCATAACACGTAAACAAAGCTCCATCCTGAGCTTCACTATCACCATCCAAGTCCCAGGAAAAAAAAATGCTGACCTTGTTATATTTACTGGGTGGGTGCAGAATTGTTCCATCACTACCCTGAGGGTTGAACGATGGAGCTTGTCAAAGTGAGGCCTTATCTAATGAATCATCTTATCGCAGGTGCACACCACACATATTAAAGGAGGATTGTATGAACAATGTGCCCTCTACAATAACCTTTCAATGTCTACTTTAACCCTTGTTTCAATCCCTTTTCATCAAAGGATCATTTTATGCAGCCAGCTTTAAATGGAGGCTCTCAAAAGCCTATTAAGATTTCTGGAGGGATGGGGTATTGGTTTGGAAGAAAAGTTGGTTATAATACCTATAACTCATAGTCAGATCAGCTCCAACCTAGAAGCCTGCTTGTTTCTATCTGTGCTCCAGAAATAGTTCACAATTACCACTCAAGTGAGGGACTTGGCACCAAAGATGTTCATTGTAAGAGCTGAAGATACAAACCCAGACTAGTTTTTTGATAGTTTATCCTTTACATGTTCTCCACAGAAAATGCAAGTGAAGTGTCGCCGTTCACTATATGTTTCAAAAAAAATACTACTGTAAAGATACCACTGAGTGAAACTGTAGATTCCCTCAGGCTAAGTCTCGTTTATTCCACACATAATGTAAAGTCCAATAATTCCACAGGTTGCAGAGGAAGAGAAGAGAAAGGAAGAATCTTCCCTATTGTTGGATAAAATTACAAAATCTATTTGTTTGCTTAGGTCTTTTAAAGAAGAGCTGTCTTTTTAGTACTTGTTTTTACAAATGTTCCTTGGTTTGTAATCAGCACTGCCGACCTTGCCACAGTATAGATAAATATTGGTAATAAGTGTGTAATATAACACCCATTTTTATAATATTCAGTAGAAACCCATGTTGCTTAGAGCACAGTTCTGAAGCTATCTGTCTACAAAACAGGACTATTCAGAGTAACTAAACTGCATGCCAGAAATTAAATTACATTGCCTGCAAATTGATAAAGTTATAGCACCTGAACCAGAACTGAAAGGTATGTTTCTTCAAAAGTGGGGGTGCAAGTGAATGGTAATTTGGGATGCTCCTTTCTGAAAGATTTGCTTGGACTCGTTAAGGAGCCAGATTTCCATCATACGTTAGGAATCTGCCTTTTGTAAATTGCTCCTTTCAGGGAATGGTATGTGTGACACCTAAAATTCACCCCTGCAAATGTAAGGCTGGATGACTTACCAGATTATTTTTATGTGCAATCTCTGTAATTATACACTGCTTCTGCTACAGAAATTCAGGGCTGGTAAATGTCCATCTGTCTAGCTAAATATGTGGTGATCTGTACTCCCTGGAGACATTAAGCTATAGGTCAAATCCAGGATCCTATAGCAAATTTAGGGAAATAATCTGTTAAAGGACATATGGCATGGCCTTAATTCCCAGCAGTGTGGGAGTTCTTACAATCACAATAACCAAACTGTATATATTAACAGTCATTTATATAGTGTGTTTGTTATTAAATTAATTTTGGAATTCACAATTATGGTATGATGATCTTAATTTGTTTTTGCTTTGGATGGCAATATGAACTGTAATACCAAAGCTCCCAAAAACTACTGCTGCAAAGAGATCTAATCCATTGGAATAATATGATTAGCTCACCTGATTAATTTGATACAGTACAGGTAGGGGACTCTAAATCAGATTTTCATTTTCAGAGGCATATTATGAAGAGCTATTGGCCCATGTAACGCTGCTCACATTCTGTTTGCCCTCAGCACTTTCCAGGAATCATTTGCAGGACTGGGCTTCATATCTTAAATTTAAAGGCCAGGATAGCAGAATTGCCAGATTCCACCCTGTCAGTAGATTTCACTGATTTCATAGAAAACCTGTTTACCTCTTTGACTTCAGCCTGCCCTTATAGTAGCATCCTGGTGCCATTGCTGCTCTTGGATTCTTCAGAGATGGAACAACCCAACATTTCTCTTTTTCACTCTGTTACTGAAAATAAAAAAAAAAATCCAAACACATTAGGAGGTTTGAGTGGGGTTTATTATGTCTACTAAATACATGAAATCTGTATTTTGGCTGTTTTCTTAATCTTTGTAAGGAGATGAGCCCCACACATGTGGAAGCAAGGCTGATGCTTCTGTTTTATGTAAGTGCTATCTGCAAGCCAGCTTTCTGCTTCTCTAAAACATGACACTTAATTGTCGTCAGTTGCATTTGTCCCTCAACTTCAGCAGTGTCAAATACATTTTAACTATGGATGCTAAGTTTAGTTCCTTTTTTGGAAAAATGGGAGTTGTCTGATAGGAGAAAAATGCATCCTAAGTCAGTGATTGGAAAACAATAAGTAAAAAGTAGCATGATGAGAGTTGGCATTATAAACTGTCTTGTGATTAAAGAGGGCAATACATTCAATTTCCTGGTTAGTTCATAGGAAAATCTGAGTAAGTATGGTGTAATTGTACATTACATACTTTAATTGAACACTGAATTTCATTGAGATGGCATCAGTATAATCTAAGAATGGAGGAACTTGGGCTTCATTATGCCTGTGACTTGCTCCTTAGATGTGAAAACCTTCTGTATATGAAAAACCTTGAATATAGCTCCACCCTGGCTATTAACAAAAATAACTAATTTTTGAGAGTCGTAGTCCACAAGTAGCTCAGGAAACTAAACAGACAGAGAGGCATTGTTGATCCAATTAGATAATAGGAGTACTTTGGTTCTCATTATTCTGATGAGAGGGTACACGTTTGCTCTTTGAGCTTCTTGATGGTAAATGGTGCTAATGAGGCCTGATGGATTCCCTGTTCCTAACAAGCCTCTCAGCAGTGCGAGTGATTACAATGGAGATAGATTTGATGGGATGCACTCCCTTTTGTAGTGTCTCAGCTGCTGACACTCTGCGACATAATCAGGTCACAGAGCCGGTCACAGCCATCAGCAAAAGCCATAGCTCTATCCCTCATTATTAAAGTGCATTATTCAGTTCCAGGCCTTCACAATACTGCCAAGGGCCTTTTTTTTCTTCTTCTTTTTTTGTTAAGCATCAGTTCTCAAACACAAGAGTTAATAAAATCATCAGCTAAAGAACTAGTAAATTAAAGAAATGGAAATAAAGCGCTCCCTTTGAGATTCGTTGAAGGATCACAATTAAATAAGCAGGCAATTTTTCGGCACCACACACTGTACAATACAATGTAATATGTCATGTGCAATAAAAACAGGGAATAGGATTTTAAAAAACACCATTGTCCTCATTGTGGACTGCCTTGGAAAGTGCTAAAGTATCTTCATTCCAAAAGAAATGTCTTTCTTCCCAACTACTACATGTGTATCTGTAGGTACTGTTATTGTCACTGTTTTCTGTAACTACCTTTTTCTTGGTACATTAGTTTATAATTCCAAGCATAGCAGCTGTTCTGTCTCAGTTAAAGTGGCCAAGGCTACAATATGGAAAATATATGATAGGCCACAGTGCTAGGACTGCTCTGTTCCCATCGACAAGGCTACTGCCTTCTTTTGGAGAGTGAGCTAATTACAAACTGGTGTGGGAAAAGGTGATTGTAGTTGAGGCTATCTTCCCTGCAAAAGAAAATACACTTTTAAAATCTAAGGTGGATTTTAATGCAGTTTAGTTAAGCAAGTGAGAAAAAACTGAGTGGAGAGCCCAGTTTTATTATTTGTTTATTAACTTTTGTCTTCAGTTTCATTTCAGCTATTTATGAGCAGATTTTAGCTAAATAG